CTCTCCACCGTTTCGTTTCTGCTTCCACTACACCTCATTATGAGTCTGCGCTAGGACAATGGACTCTCGGATCGCATAGGCTAGAACGTGAGCCATGGGCATTTCCTATCTAATGGCAATGCTATTGGAAGGATGATGTCTAGGCGATCCCGTGCTGCTGTCGATATCGCGGCAAGAGTTCAAATAGCGAGGCACATGTGTATATGCTCTCAAAATCTAGTAGACCTCAAAACCGAGCTGCAACCAATGACTTAATCGGAGACGGGAGAATGTCCATCGCCAAACTACCAACTACCGTCCATGCAAACAGGGTCCTAGAAGACTCGCAGATTCGAAAGCGAGCCAGGATCAGAAGGTTATCGAAGCCGAGACCAAGATGTCTCACATGAAAGGTAGGACAGACCTGCATAGGCCAATCCACCGCAGCACGTTGTCGCGTTCTCGACCCTGATTGGTCGCCATTCGACTTGAGCCAATGTCAGAGCTCGAATTGATCGCGTGCCTCAACTTGACACTTTCCAATGCTTTCCAATGCTTTAACATGTTGAACTTCTCTCATCATGTCCAACACGCTTCTGGGTAACTGACAACCCCTCTCCATAATCATTTTTATGATCGGCGGAATCACATTCTCTTTACGTCCAGAGGACGTGTCCCAAGCTGACCCTGATCTCTTCAATTTCGCGCCATGGATCTATGAAAGGGAAAGTATCAGTACACCTTTCTCTTCTACGCCTGTTTGAGGTCGCTGAACACTCACGTCACGGCCTGTGGCAACGCCCGACCTTCAAATCGGACCCCGGCTTTATATCGGTGCTTACAGCTTTTGGTCCTCCGGCTGTTTTAGCTTCAAATACCTTTTTAGAGGTATTGTCTGCAATAGTTCCGTGGCGATCCTTGGCGAGTGAAGAAGACAAGTAAATACAATTTATCATTGCTCAAAATGACACGTCTGAAGATGCCGCCCACACCGGCCTCTTCTACTGAGATGAAAGGCCAGGATCATTCACATCAGCTATCCACACTACAGATGTCCTTTGAACTACCCCCGTCAGCCATGGGACCTAACGCCAACTCCCTGACCCCGAACTCTGCTTCGAAGACGTCGCCTGTGTCGTCCCCAGCCAAGACCTCTTACCCGGTCCAACCTAGCGAGACGGTCAAATCGAGGAGGCGCTCCTCTACCGCACAGAAGGAAACATTTGCTCTACCTCCTCCACCCACAAGATCTCGCAGGATCATTCAGATGAAGCCTCGCCCAGAAGAGCCGACTGGGCAAGCGACGCAGGAGAAGGCAGCCTCGGCGGGTGCCGGTAAGAATACCGGTGCTGGGTCTAAAAAGAAGCAACCGTCGGCAAGTAGCGCTGCAGGGCGAAAGATGGCGAGAAAAACGGCGCACAGTCTGATCGAGCGACGTCGGAGATCAAAGATGAATGAAGAGTTTGCAGTGCTTAAGGGGTTGATACCTGCCTGCACGGGAGAGATGCACAAGTTAGCCATCCTCCAGGTATGTTTAAGGAACTGAGTCAACACATCAAGGATCTTGTTTCTAATTCTACCATTCTAGGCCTCGATTGAGTATGTACGATATCTCGAAGATTGCATCACGAAGTTGAAGGAGCAACACGACGATCAGTCGACCCCGGCTCCGCCCCAGTTTAAACTACCTTCATTAAATGATCGCGATGTATATGATATGGACGACGACAAGGAAGATGACGAGGAGGAAGGCCAAGAGGATGTCGAAATGACGAACTCGGAAGCGCCTTCACCTGTTTATGCTCAGACTCCTGTACTTTCAAATCGCTCATCTATTTCGCCAACACTACTGGCGCAGGATGCGAGAGGGAGGCAGCATTCGTACTCTTCGGTTTCCACGGAGTATCGTCACTACAGTTACACTGCACCAGCAACTATCTCTCCTGCCTTCGGTCCTCAGTCATATTCGCAACCTGTGGGAACAACATCCGCGTCCAATTCGACACTCACCAGTCCTGCTTTGAGGCCGCAGCAGGAGATTGACCAGGAGGCGTCGGCAGCCCTGCTGATGCTGAATGTAGACCGCAGGGGCATGAACAACGGCGGGCCGGGGAGAGGCATGAGCGTCAGAGACCTGCTTAGCTCATAAGCGCGTGTCTGATGGCTCGTAATCAACTGTCCACTCAGAGGTAGTCGGCTTTGACGCATATGTTACGCTACAGGTTGGTTCCGTGGGACTTTTTTCATTAGCAGGGTTGGAGAGGCTCTCTGTATTTGCATTTGCATGAGGGTTGGTGGAAACTAGGACCAGGTAGTGTACGCAGTGGTGTTTGGGTTATAGGATGGGTTATTAATAGGGGTAGGTAGGGTAAAATCACAAGGGGCATATTAACAAGTAAGCGTCGCTATGGGTTATGTGTTCATATTGTTAGATTCCATTGGTCGCCCATTCGCCGTGATTGTCAATAAAAGCGATAGAAATAGGTGATTATGTATTTAGTCCCGAATCTAAGCCCCGAGCCCGAACCGAGACAGCCAAGACCGATAGACAAGCCGATCTCCGGGTGGGGAATGACGGCGGCAGCTCCGTCCGGGTCATGAGCCGTGTCCCATAAAATTATTTTTATCTACCTCCCAACATAGGAAGACACATCATCAATAGGCACAATGAGGATTGGTTTATGGCCTAAACCTGATGCGGCATCACTTTCAACAAAGGAACATCTGGATAAGGACGGTGGCTTAATCAATAAGGTCAAAGAGGAAAGCTACCTTAAAGTCTTCCATCTAAAAACTAGAGAACGTGGAAAGACTAGATGACCGATCGCACTGATTCCTAGACATTCTTCTCTGACGATTTATATAGCAATGGATGATTCGTTTTTAGCGCAACTTTTCCTGGGGTTGAAGACCAATGAGTTTGGGGATGCGAGGGACAGCGTGGTGGCAGATCGAATTGCGAGATATTTCCTACCGAACCAAAGGCTTAAGTATTTAGGCCTGGAGGGTGCAGGGCGCCGTAAGTAGGACTGTGTTCTTCACCTTTCGTAAACGGATACTTAACCTCTCTATTTAGATGGCGGCATCCTCCTCTTTAGCGAGCAGGATGACAGTGGTAGACCATTTCGAAAGATCGTCATCAAGTACCCGCTCAGTGCACAAATGGACGACGACTTACGAAACGAGGCGAAGTGGTTGAACGTATTGAAAGGCGCCGAACACATCGGACGGGTGATTCCGCTCGCCGAAGCAGAAATCAACCTGACGGGGACTGGAAAACGCCCTACCGTCGCGCTCGAATATATTCCCAACGGAACACTCCGCCAGTTTCGAGACAACTTTGCCGATTATTTTGAAGAATATGCAGATGAAGGTTTCCCCATGCGCGTGCCGAGTCGGCTCCTGTGGCGTGTGTTTTTGTGTCGTAAGTACTCCCTGCACTCTCGGGCTGATCTGGAACTAACCGGCTTCTCAGTGGTACGGCAAGTGGCCGCGATGGCTTACCCTCCTCAACTGGAAGATCCAGATGCGCCAGCCGTGCGCGAGACCGTCAAGCCAGGCGTGCCACCGTTGGCCCTAACGCAAAATTCGAGTCACCTCGACAACTTTTTAATAGGGGATATAAGTAACATTGCTGACGAACATAATCCCGTACCTATCATTAAGGTAAGTATCGATGGTCCGTAACCGACTGGATAGAGTGTATTAACTGCTGTGGTAGTTGATCGACTTTGGACGCGGCGTAATAGAAGATAGTTTCATGGAGGCTTATGAAACTAACATCTGGGGTGCCGCATATGTGAGTTGTCCGGATGATGTGTAAATACACACTGGTCTAACCAACACGCTACAGGCGCTAGTATCGATTGCTCTTCCGTACGATATCTCAAGGAGAGAGAGAGAAAAAGACAACGAGTACTACTATCCGGCCGAAGACCGAACCTTTGTAACAAATTGCCCCAGCCAGTTCCTAGACATGAATAATATGGATTGGAAGTTGAGAACGCTTATAGCGCGGTGCATGGCGGTGGAACTGGACGACTTACCGACGTTGGAGGAGGTCTTGGCTGAATGCGAGGACGCGGTTGCGAACAGGACAATCGATGACTACGGCCAACCGCTAACGATGCACGAGAAATCAGCGGAGAAGGACGAATACATCCGACAGATCTTGCGGGACTGCATCTTCAACGCGCGGGTCAAGGACGAGCCGCCGCGCGGGTACGACCTGCCGCACCCTCCCAGACAGTTGGGAACCACCTTGCTGGGCATACGTTGCATGGGCAAGGCCGCCTATCAGACGACAGCCGGGAGGAGAAGACGCGACAGAGCGAGTGTCGGCCCGAGGACCTTCGCCCAAAGGATGGACGACATGGTAAACCGCGCTGCGCCCATCCCGGCTCCGAGACAGGAGACGAGACGCCAGACGCTGTTCGAGAGGTTTCAGCGGAGGGTCCGCAGCATACAAAATTTGAGAGGTGCCATTCGCGACACATGGAGTACTCGTAGCAGCGACGTGGACTAGGATCTTCGATGCCGTGTATTAACTTGGTTTTATTTTTATTTATGATTAATGTAGATATATTTTGGTGGTCACTTTTGTCATGGGGGTAGAATGGTGTACATAGCAATAGGCATAGTCGTTAACCTTTATTATTATAAATGCCTTGGGTGATGGGAACTGGTAATGAGAATTAATGTAAAGGCCCACCATTGCGGTTCGTTCTACTTATACTATCCCAAGAGGGGACTGAGAAATTGGCAGCATATGCTGAACTTAAGGAGAAAATTGGTGGTCATACTCGACTGAGGGAAAGATGTTAGGGAGAGTAAACGTAGGTCCAAGGGTGGCGATGGCTAATTCATAGAACCATAGCAATACATCTACGATAATTATCAAAATATAATAAAGAAAATAGGAGAAAGAAGAAACTGGAAGAAAGGATGAGTAACTGGGCAAAAGGATGGGGGTCTAGAGTTGAGAAGAAAAAAAATTGAAAAGAAAAAACCACAACTTAATTTGCCGGGAGCCAGATTCGAACTGGCGTCTCCGGTTGCCTGCACCCTAGCCGCCCACTGAAGCTCTGTCGCTGTGGCTGGCATCCACATTGTTTCTATGGTGTCTGGCATCCGCGTGCAGGAGATCCAATGAGGCATCAGGGCAAATTCCCGGAATCATACCACTAGACCACCCCAGCTTTCGAATTGTTAAAAATTGGTACTGCTTTTTTGCCTTATAACCCTTAGGTCCGGAAGGTACCCGGGCCGACGGTTGTTCTGGCGATGCCCCGGGGGAACGTCGGCGCGGGGCAGGACTGCTATTCTGGACAACCGTAACGAACCCGTTGACAATTGCTAATTTTCTCAAATAGGGGGGCCAGAGCTACGGTCACTGTCTTAATACTCTGGGTGCCACTTGATGAGAGAGAGCCTCCCTAGCAAACCCCCGTGAGTTCTATCGAAGTTATTTTAAGCATACATGCCATATATTCATATCTTGTTGCCCCCTATCCGGCTCTATCGCCGAGAAGCAGACAAACGGTTTAGAAAAGGGGTTGCTAAAATACCTCTGCTTAACATTTGGCTCAAGTAAATGACCTATTTCGCGTTTCGACTGCCACGGACGGCGGTAGATCCCGTAACTCCGGTATCATCACTTATCTTCCCTACAGCCCAGATTCCCATATCTTTCTTTCGAGTGGTAGGTAGCAAATCTGACTTCCATGCGTCCTTACATATTCTCCGCTTGAGGAACTAAGTTCTCGATATGTTCCCCGCGTCTAGTGCTCAACGTAGACACGATTTTATACCACCCATTCATCACACTGACCAGAACAGCAATCGACAGCCTTTCCGTACGCAACACTGTCGTTAATACCGGGCATCGGGCTTCCTGAACGCGCTATAGATGCACACAGATTACCGGCGAGGCTTCGCCTGGAGACATGCCCCCTTATCACCTTCCGAAAGTGGTCTCTCCGCTTCGTTATAATTTATTTTTAGAGAAAGTGTCGACTAGCCGTGTGTTAGACCTTAGTAACAAACACAAAACTCTTTATATATTAACTAATAACTAAGAGAGTAAAGAAATTGGCATGCTTATAGGGAGGTACTTGGAGTATAACTAGAATAGGAAAGTGGAGTTCCGCATCTTGATATTCGATGCTACCCGTCTTGTCCTTGGCGTGCCACAACCGCAAGCTGTATTATACTGTAGAACTGAAAGGTATTCATGTCTAGCCATATCTACTTTCATAGCTCCGAGGACTTGTACGAGCACGGGTCGCGTGCCAAGCATGACGAATCTTCGACGCTGAGAATTTTTGCGAAAAGGGGAAGTCAACGCCTCCAAAAACGCGGATGTTAGTTTTAATGAAGTACCCAAGGTCCTCACTATTGACAGGCTATATACGGTCACACTTCTCACACATTACTACGATGCTACGAACATATTGATACCGTGGACTGACGGATGGCTGACCCATGTGGAAGACGTCATCAAAGATTCGAACGTTCTCATGCCAACATTGTTGAAGACCACTGCCCGCCATATATCGGCCGAAGCACCTGCGTCTCTTCTGGACTCGTATTCCCCTTCGCAAGAAATACAGATGCCACCGGATATAATAGGTACGATGAGCCAGTATCTCGCTGCTTTACAAATATCTCTGATAAGACTAACAGGGAGAACCATAGAGATTAGCATCCAAACCATTCAAGCTTTCCTAGACGTGCTCTAGGACACGGTGGACAAGCTGCTGGTAGTGGACGAGAACCGACGATGGCGCCACCAAGCTAATTGAAAAATTTAATTAAACTTTGAGGCTATTCCGACCTCTTTCTAATCCTCCCTCTTCCCATAATAAATCCACAATATCTATCTCAACACCAACTATTCCATTACCCCCTAATCGATTTCAAATCTTTGCATCTGCCGAAAAGCTCGAAATTGCCCTAAAGTCATTTGCTAAGGACCACCACTTTGATTTCTTACGTTTAGGTGCTTCTAATCGCCGAAAGGGGATAAATGGCGATAGCTTGTATTGCAGAATTGATATTTGCTCTGCCTAGGGGAACCTGTCTAGTAGTAACAACACCGGACTGTGTATTACGCATACCAAGAAGGGTTTACGCATACCAAGAAGGGTGCTAACTGCCTCAAAATCTAATGAGGATCATAAATAACTTCAAAATTCAATAAGGGTTGCGAATAGCTTCAAAATCTAATTATAGATTCTTTATACGTGGGGTGTATTGCTAGCTGTCAAAAAACACTACAGAAAACACTATAGAAATAGCATTGCTCATAGAAATATACGATATTAGGCGATCTCCAAAAAGCGCACATGATCATACTGCATGCAATCCTATGCAGCATCTGGAGAAATCCATGAAAAGAATCATCAAGGGGATTTCGTAATAGCATAGCTATCTAACTCTCAGATGGCCTCTCTATCGGTACGTGAAATACCTAACATGGGTACCTACTTCATAGACTCGGCTTAACCATCGTTAGGTGTAGGTAACGGATAATACTTGGGAAAGTTAAGGGATGTAGGAATAGCATCATAGACGTCCACGGCGGTTAATATTATCGTCCAAATTAAAGAAAAGAACCGTAATAACTTAAAAGACGAAAATATCCTATAGCCTCAAGAAACTCTTGGAGCGCAATGGAATACGTCATTGTATAATACGACTAAGAGACTAAACATTAACTTGATGATTTGGAATAGTAGCTCCCCTGGGTCCTGGAGCCCACTAGTGTCACCGGCCGTGACTATAACCACGTATAGGAAGCTCCGCTGCTACCGGCGAAGCTGGCAGTTCCGCTAAAGGCATGTGTTCTAACTCGGCCCCCGCTTCGTCACCCTGCAGCTCCTTGGCCATAGCTGTCCGTCTATCATAGATCCAAGTCCCCGGCATAGCCGCCGCTGCTGCTTCGGGCTGGAGTAGTTCGGGAACCTCCATGGGCGACCCCGCTAACGGCAAGATACCCCGTCTGCGGCGCTGCAGGCAAAAGAACCACACGAGACAGCAAAGTGCGGCGCTGCCGACGGCGATGCCGACTCCGATTCCTATCATGGCAGCTTTCGATAAGCCGGAGCTCGAGGATGTATCTTTGGAGTTCGGCGACGCCGTGCCGTGTGGTGGTAGAGTTATATCGGTCGCTGATGCTGTGATTAAGGAGTCGAGTGCAGGCGATGTTGATGACGCAGGTAGAGATGAAGATGCAGTTATAGATGTTGATTTCGGTGATGTCTGCACAGTAGTATCAGCCGATGTATTCGGGCTTGCAGTGCTTGTAGCTTTGATAGCGACACTCGTCTCGGATATGGCAGCCACCGTTTCGACGGTCTCTTCGTTCGTCTTCGTTACTTCAACAACATTGGTCTTTGTAATCTTCTCTACCCCTGTGCTGACAGCCGCCACTGTCGGATTCCCCGCTGCCTTGGTCGTGGAGGTTTGACCTACCGTCGTCTCTGAGTTCCCGTCCCCCTCACGAAGAAAGAAGATTGGCGAGGCGATACTCTGCGTTTCGGTGCCTTCGAACTTTACGCCAGAAGCAAGGAACCGGAATACCCAGAGATCGACGTTCAGTTCACTGAACGGGATATCCGCAGTCCACGTATAAGACAAGGTGGTTTCCACATTGATTCCGGCTGTAGGTCTAGTCAGTACATATCCATCCACCGCCAGGCACAGCTCAGTGGGAAGGTATCGTATTACAGGAAAGCTTATGGAAATTATTTCCACCCAATATCCACAAATCGACATTCTGGGTGTCGCAAGCGTCGCAGTATTGGGCGAACCAGGTTTTCAGGTTTGAATTCCACTTGAGCGTGTATTTTTCTCCTGTGACTAGACTGCTGGTCTGGTCAGGATTTGCCGGAAAGATCCAATCGTCTTGTGGAGCGGCGCACGACGGCGCCGCCAGCAGCGCAATCGTCAACACGGCCTCGAGGAGGAACAATAACATCTTGCGTGCGCGGCCGAAAACGGGCACGGAGGAAGCGAAGCGAAGCGAATGAGAAATCCATGAGGAAGAGGAACCACGAGGGAGAGACAGAAGATAAGGTGTTGCGAATGCTTGTCACCGGCTTCCCAGAGCCGAAGGAATGGATCTAGTGCGATAAGGCGTCGGGTAATTTGCTACTAACTTGTGAGTTTCGCTGAATAATCTCACGAACTTTTCAGTTTTTCATGCTTGCTACTCCTAATGCAGTTTAATGCTCCTCTTCGTCGCGATCCTTCAAGGCCGTCCCATTGAAAAAGTCCCTGCAGGACTGGTGGAGCATCTAATATCCATCGCGCTAAAGACGAGCCCTACTAGGATTAGGTAGGGCGTTACAATGCTGGCGGGTTTGGAGATGTAAAATTGCTTGTTATTTCTCAAAATCTATATAGTGGTTAGGAATGTGCCAATAGTTGCCATCCGTATAACATGCGCAGTACTGCAGCTTACAACTGCGCCGGCACATTCAGCCCCCTCGAGAACAGCTTCACCTTTGGTTGCAGTACCATCGTCGCTCGGGTCGGCATCCGACAGTTTGGTAGCATTTGCCTGCATACGTAACAGGGCCGACGCCCCCCTGAAATCTGCCCCCTGGCCGACGGGCAGTATCGTCCGCAGCAAGATGATGTGGAGCCGGTTGGAATTCTGGGGAAACACCTGGATATTGCTGCCGCTCACGGTCTCCGTGATATTTCGGTAGGAAGCGTCGCCATTCTCCCAGATCGTGCTAAGTAGGTAATTGAATCTGTGCAAACATTGCGCCGACGCAGGCTTGTCCTAGGACCAGCTCGCAGCTCGTGCTGCGCCGAATACTCCGACTACAGATTGGTTATATTGATGGGGAGGCCAACCCAATCGTCGAACACGGTTGCACAGAGGGGGATCGGAGTACTGTCTAATGCCGTCGTGATGTTGCCATTGACCGGCCACGTGAAGTCGTAGGTTGTGCTTGCGACGTGTGGATTAGTGGTCGCTCTGTCGGACAACTGATACTCGGCGTCTAGGGCCGCTACGTCATTGATGTTGACACCTGGAAGACTGTGAGCCGGTGGGACCGGGAATGGCAAGGGAATTGCGCAGGACCGAGTTTTCGGGTAGCCAGCTCCAGGAGTTCTCAACAGGCTTTTAAGGCACCGAGCGTGTCACAGTAGGATGTTGGTTATCATTCCATATCACCACTCT